CAGGAAGCTGGAGAGCCAAACACAAAAATGATTCGACAAGCTATAGCATCGAAGTTTGGCCAGCAAACCCTCATACCACACATAGTCAAAAGCCTTGGAAATATCAAGTGCAACAGCTCTTGACTCTCCATATTTTTCGATTGCGTTATTCCAAATATGGATGGCATACGATAGATGGTCGCCTGTTGAATTTTGTTTCCGAAAGCCATATTGATGATCGCTCAAGATATTAAAGCCTTTCAAATATTTAAGGATATGGTGGTTTACGGCTTTCTCCATGATTTTTAATATAACTGATAGCAAAGCGACTGGTCTATAGTTATTTGCCATAATACATCGAATACACCAAATCACATTTATAACTCTTTGATGATGAGTAAGACTAATTAAAACTAGGAAGTGTACAATATCCAACCCTATCAAAATTAGATTATACATACCTCACACTTTCCAAGAATCATTCAACTTCGAGAATAGCTTCATTGTGATATAAACATTCAGAATAGTGAGAATCGTCTTAGAAAAATTCTAGACTACATGAGTAGTGCAATCACAATGGACTTAGATGTATTGAGTTCTCGATCACTAGAATCAATTACTATGGACACTACTTGTTACATGGTACTTATTGGCGACTTTATATTAAAATTGAAAAATTGAAAACTGCCATGTCACGGGTATGATCCAAAACTATTGGACTGAAATGAATAGGATAATAACCAATAACAATTCAACAAGAGACAGCTATGTTTTAAGTCTGACACATGTTTTGTTAACCTTTTCAAATGAAAATCTTACAGAAACTTTCATTAGTATTTCAGTGTATATCGTAACGTTTATTGTCAAATTTACTTATTGCAACAATTCAATGGTTCGCTCTTGATCTTTGACCAAAAAATTGAAGAAATTTTTATTTGTGTTGAATCAAAACATGATTATCACGAATCAGAAAAAAATATTTAAACAGCGATTTTCTGATAATTCAATATGTGAGAATTGGTCGCTAAGTTTCAGATGACTGGTTGTGTAAAACTAAACGAAAAGGATTGGAATGAAAACAAGTTGAAGAAGGAAAACAAGTTTAAAATAAGTCTGACGGCTGTTTCGAGGAAAGATACAAACTCGTAGTTTCCAAATATTTATTTTCTTATTGAAAAACAAGTTAATATTTCGGAACTGCTATGAATACCCAAAATAATAACCAGCAAAAGCGGAAGGTATGGATTGTGGAGTGAAAAAAATAAAAAACATAAATTTCATCTCTTCAAGTTGAACATTTTCCATCAACTGGCAGATGATAATTCAAAAACGAAATTGTAGTTTTGTGAAGCTAGGTCTGATCACATAACCCGTAATCTAGAATACAATAACTGCATTTGTTTCAGTGATGAATGTACCTTTTTTGAATGTAACAATAAAAGGGCAAAATATTCTTTATTGGTCTGACCTGAAACCACATACATTCCAAGATAGACACACACAATATTCCCAATAGCCACATTGTAGGACCAACATTTTTGAAAACACATGCAACCGGATATGCTGCAAAATTGCATCAGAACTATGGTCGATGAAATAGTTCAGGCGAACCTAATCGAATTTTCACTGATGTTAAGTTTCAGCAAGAAGGGGTACTTTCTCATTATGACAGGTTGTTTGGAAAGTGCCTGAATGGTAAATATCCAAATCGGTGGTAGATGAACGTAATTCCTTAGAATAGCCCGCTAGATAACCTGATATGACGCCCTGGAATTTTTCGTGGAGATTCATGAAATCTTAAGTATACCTGACACAATTGAGATCCATTCTAGAACTCCTGTATACAATAAGAGGTTTTTACAGAAAATGTTGAAGAAGCATTCGTGAATAAGTCAGTTGAAGCTTTTTTTTATTTTATATCAGAAATACGAGTCAGTATTGGAAAATGTGAACTTGAGGTTGAGTAAAGAGTCTAACAGTGTCTTCAGCACCATTTCATAGCCCAAAAAGAGTTTCGATGATAATGTTGGAATAGTTAACGAATATCCGTTCGAATAAACCAGAAACAAACCAAAGAAAATTTTTTTTTGTATATCCTAAAACAGGTCCATTCGAAATGAAAATACTGTATCTAAAAAAAGTGACTCATTTGTTGACTTACAAATAAACATATTCTGTAATTGATGATCTCATGATATGCCAAGTTTAAGAAAAATTTCAATCGCATTTTTGTGATTTGTTTATTCGATTTCAATTGAAGCAACTGTGAATTAAATTCTGGATATCCACAATTTTTTTTATTTCAGAATAATGTCACGGTAATTTTGGCTGTCTTTGAATAATAAATCTTCACATCTCACATCAATTATTTTGTAATTCTCCACATTGTACTCCAAAGAATACAAAGTATTTGATGTTATTACTTTGAACAATCTTTTTTGGACACTTTCCAGTAGAATAAATTAATGGGTTCTCAAACCAGTCTCGTATTGAAATAGTTAATAACATGAGTGTCACGACAGAGAGTTTTTATTCATTCAAATCAGAATAGGTATTTGATGATTTCATAATTTTGCTATCTGAATACATGGGTTGTTGAATCATAACATGTTGGGTGCTATCCGGAATCAAATTACGCATTAAAACTTAAAAAAAATGGAAATCAATAATCAGAAATGATAACGAACAATAAACAATAGAGGACTTCCTACTAGTAACCGGAATGAACGGAATGTTTCGAAAACCCAAGTATCAGTATTACTCAGAAAGTGGATGTGGTGGAATTGGATCCAATAAAATCAAGGCAAATATTTCAACATGATGCGTCGATTAATTTGTTGGTTGTCCAATTGGATGACACGATCATTTTACTGGAATGGTAAAATCACTTTCTCGGAAAATTGAAAGTTGTACACACCCCGCACAACTGCAATGCTTGATAAAGCTCAAATTAGACCTACTCTCGAATATTGTTCACATGTATTGACTGTCGCCCTTAAGTATACCGTGAAGATGCTATATTCTTTTCAGAAGAAAGTATCCGTCTGTTAATAAAATAACTGACAAAAACTTTCCTCAATGGATTTCACTAATTGTTTTTGATATGGAGACCTGGTCTCACTGGCCTAGAAGATGATGAAGCTGCTGACTCCCTCGCAAGGGACGGCGCTGAAAACCATTTCATCTGACCAGAACCTCTCACTGACCAGAACATCTCACTGACATCGCGTTAGCCTCTACCAAGCATTGAGTAATTGAGTACCCGGACTGCAAAACGAGTTCCAGATTTATGACGAAATCATCCATAATTGGCCCATTCCAAATCATACTGCAAAATATGTAATACAAAACAATTATTATATCACAGCAGGAATGGCATATAATTTCTAAGATGCATATTTACAGGCCAGTGTCGTCTAAATCATCATATGAAGAGGCTCAGTCTGTTGGAAGAAATGCTTGTTGTCTTTGTTAGGAAGATGATAAAACAGCAGACCACATACTTTTGTGCTCACCCCGCCTGAGATGGAATCAGATTTTCAATGTTTGGCAGGGTTCACTCTTGCCGTTTCACCTAAACGATCGCTCATCAAGTCTACTTTCCGGTTTCGTTAAGAAGCTGGATTTGTTTGGTCGAGTTTATGAGCCACAATAAACAACTGCTGGTTGCAGTGGAGACCCCTCACTTTGGACCCTATCTACTCACCCATATCCTCTTTCGGGTTCGAGTCGCCTCCTGTTCCTTTCCTAGAGCAATCATAGCATATTCGTCATATGTAAAATTAGCCATTCCGCAAATTTTCAGGAAAAATCAACATAGACGAAGAGGACACCAATTGATTTATATCCGTGAATAGTCACAGATGTTGACTGAATGATACCGAACGGCAACAGAACTGAGATCTGACCTCCAATGTGATAACTTTCTATTAGATTTCAATAAAAACGTATCTACATTGAAGCGTTAATAATACAGAATTGAAATTTCATGTTTTTGACAGTTTACAACGTTGAATGAAAAATAATTGGCAGAAATATTCCAAAAAAATATACATTATAGTCGAGGGCAAAGTTCGCTAATACAAGTAGTTGAATATAATGGTAATAATATACGGCTTGTTTTATATCAGTTCATTGAAGTAGCTGTGATAAAAATATATTTCATTTAATTTCTGTATAACGTGTATTATTTATTTGATGTTTTGTAGATAATAATTTGTAACTTTGGTGTTGTTGCCAGCCCAGTACTAATTAATCGCAACTTTTGATATATTTTCGGAATCATCTCTGCAAGGTAACTCTGGAAATTTAGAAATAAGGATTTTCTGAATAAGAAACCTGGCAATGCCGTCACGTTAGCCTATATAAACAACGATATTATGATCAAGAAAAAGCTATGAATGAGAGCATGTAACTAAAAGTGGTGGTTACCCTTCAATAGTACGCAAAATCATTAGAAAACGGAAAAAAAAGAATATTTGATTCACAACAAGCCCAAGACCAAAACGAGTTATGATTCTGTATGAACCAAAACACACCAACGGGTTGTAAACTTAAACATGAACTTAACTTTAAAAACTACTCGTACAGTAGATTAAAAAAGCTCGTTTCGAGGAGAACTTTTAACATTTTTTATTTTTTGTAGTCTTGAGAAGTTCGTAAGTGACACACAACATGACATAGAAAACGGTCACAGAACGACGACAGAGCTTCCATTTCTATGCAACTAAACAACTAATAGATATTATAGCAATGTATATAACAATAAAGGATTAAGATTCAATCAATATTGTAATTATTTTTACTAAGAGTTAATTCAAGTTTGATCCTCATTACTGAAGTGAAATTTCAACTACAGATGATGATAACTTGGTCAGCGAAAGAGAGGAAGTACTCTTGCGTGGAAAGTGTTTTCATCAGATTGATTTCACGCCAAAGGTTCTAATTTAAGCTATCAAACTTGAGTAGATAAATCCTTTACTGAAAGTACTGCACCGCGGTAGTAGAAAAGCAATTTGTACTTACCCTAACGTAGTCATTGTGACAATGGTGTACCAAAATGCAGCTGGAATAGAAGTGAAGGTCTTGCCGACGTTCTTCTCAGCGTAGAACATCACGGTGGCAAAGATGATGATGGCCATTGCTAATGAGAATACAAGGAAGCCTAACTCGGAAGCGCAAGACTTAAGCGTATAGCCCAAAATTCGGAGACCTTGTGAATGCCTCGAAAATTTGAAAATTCTGAATACACGGAATACTCGCAGGGTAACGAACGCCCCAGAAACATCGTCGTTATCTGTGATGCCAAGTCCGATGTAGTACGGCAAAATAGCGACAACGTCTATAATGCTCATCACAGATCGCACGAATTTGTAGCGATTTGGTGCTGCGAACATCCTGAGGAGGTACTCGGCGGTGAATATCATAACGCAAGCTGTATCCAAGCAGAAGAAGACAATCTTGTACCTCTCTCCGCACGGTAGTGAGCCTGCTCCACCAGGTCTGCTCCCGCAAGGTACAGTTTCTACCACATTGGCCATCACCGAGACAGCAATGAAGAACCCCGTGACATAATAGAACACCAAGGCGGCTGTGGATGTATGAGGGTTCTCAAAGGCCCGCCACATCTTCTGGCGCAGATTGGTCAGCTGCTGAAGGTGCTGATCCCCGTTCTCCGAAAGCTTATCATCCATAAGCCTCTCAGCATTCTCACGCTTTCTGTCGCGATAGTCTTCGTAACAGCAGTCCCCGATGACGTCGGGTAGGATCCCGAAGAAGGCCAGCTCTTCGTCGTAGCTGGTCAGACATTCGTGCTTCGGGTAGTGCAACTTCCCAGTTCTGTAATAGTTGAGAATGTGTCGGAAGATATCCGGGTCGCGGTCAAAGAAGTATTCTTTGACGTCTTCGTCGTAAAAGAACTCCCTTTCGTTAGAGCCTAGTAGAGTATCGGGATACTTCTCTAGAGTATTGCGCCAAGTTTCAAATCGGCGGCCAGATACGTTGATCAGAAGCTTCTCGTCGTCGGTCTTCCTGCGGTCCTTGGGCACCGGTGGTGGAGGTAAAGGGTGCGTGGCGATGGGCACCCACCCGATTGCCGCCGCCCGCGCAAAAGGCAGCCAAGCGGCGACCGAGGCCATGCTGTGAGGAGGAATGATGGACTTGTTGTCTCAGAAGGTCAGCTGCTACAATCACGGCTGCTTTTGCCGAATTTCACTCGCACATTTCTGGGAATGCGGGGTAGTATCCCGGCTAGTATCCCGACAGCCCAGAGCCGTCTCTGTCGCACTCAACACTCGTGTCTATTCATAACACCGAACAATTGAACACGTCAACGTACGATTCCGGACCTCCGATATAGATTCATCCTACTGTTATTACCTGAAATACAACTGCGGAGTGTAGTTTTCTGGACTTTCGGTCGCGGCGTCTGGGCTGCTTTCCGAAACGCGCCGATTCCCGCCGAAAAATTACTAGATCAGCCGCACGCTGCTTTTGCGTCACGACGCAGGATCCTTTTGATCGATTAGAGTGCATTGCGTCTAAATCTGCCAAATATACACTAGAATTTTATTTTGCACTTCACATGCTATTAAAAACTCCTAGTTTCCTCTCAGGCTGACTTGGTGCTTCAACCGAGGAGATATAAGAGTTGTTCATATTTGTAGGCCTTAGATTTTACAGGATGACTATTAATGGGTTAACTTAAATTCAAAAGTTATTAAAGAATGTATTTTTAGAGAGATTGATGTTTGGAAAATCATATTTTGACGGAGGTGGATTTATGAAAAGGGTAAAAAATAATTCCTTCACTTCAAGTATTTATTATCTAACCAAAAAGCCTAAATCAGAATTTTAAACGTTTGAAGATTAGAATGATTTTTTGACAAATTCTTGTGAATACAACTGCTACATAAAACCATTTAGTTAATTTATCGAATTATAAAAAATATAGAAATGTGATACTCCATATAAAACACAGAAAAATAACGAACGCTCATACACAAATTACAACAAAACTGCCATTCTTACTGTTGTTTACATAGAGAAATAACTCTTGTCGAAAACACAAAGTTCAATGATAAATTACGACTATCCCGTAGCAAGGAGTATGTTTTAAATATGAAAGTTAAGTTCTTTTTCGATTTTTGCAACCTGAACGTCTGGGGCCACAGTTATTGACTGATTCTTATATTTAATTGCTTCTAATAATGGGAGTTATGCAAATAAAGAGTCATAATTCCCAAAGTTTAATGCTTTTATAACTGATCGCTGTCTTTACACGAAAGATATTTGAGAAAAACTATTATTGAGGTTCGTCATTAACACAATAAAAATAATGATTTTCATAATTTTCATCTGTTTGTCTGTGAGTTTGTGCTCGCTAATCACAATGTGTGTGGTTTTCACTCGCACTTCAATTATCACCTAGTGTTTGAGTTATTAATAATAATAATAATTTTGATTTATTAAATCCTATGTAACATGATAAAGGATACGTCACAAATGAAAACCATGTGATGATAGACACATTAACAATCAACAATATTGAAATATCACTATTCATACATATGAATATGAATTGAATGAATAATTCATATTCATACATACAAGCAAACACATTTTCATTTTGCATCAAGATATTCTTTGATATTAAGGTAACATTTTTTTAAGGACAGCAGAAAAATTCTTAAGACGCCCTTAGAGTGGTGCCAGTGCGAAAGTAGCGATTCACATTGGATTTAAATCGCTGGAGATTAAATTCATTTGGAAAAACTTCTCAGGAAGTTTATTCCACAAGAACGCAGTTCTCCAAATGAAAGAGTTCTTAAACAGTGACGTTCGAGGTGTACTGAGTTGAACCTCAAAACGGTGAGCAGCCACAGTCTGTAGCGTATTTCTGATATGTACCGCTTTTGGTGGAATTAAATGTGCCAAGTCACTTGAACAGCTCCCGTGAAAGTATCTATAGAAGAGAGACAGATCTCCAAACTTTCTTCGATATTCCAGGCTATCAAGATTGCACGTGATGTTCACGTCTCCAATTAGGCGGATGGCTTTTTTCTGGATGGAATCCAGCAACTTCAGGGTATGTTTGGGGGCAGAGCTCCATACATGAGAAAAATACTCCAAAGAAGGTCTGATCCGAGGTTTATAAAGCATCAAAAGTTGCTGAGGTGTATACAGTTTTCTGGTTCGGAACAGTGTTCCAATTTTGAGAAGCAGCCTTTACAATTTTAGCGACATGATTGTGCCAAGACATATTGGTGTCCATTTTAAACCTCAACAAACTTATCGAAGCAGAAAGCGGAATTGTCTGAACTGACATTATTATATCCGGTTCGGAGACATTTATCTTCATGGAGAAAACCGATAAATTGGTTTTTGTGGCATTGAATTGAACCTGGTTACTTTCATCCCAATTCGAAATCACTTCTTGATCCTCATTAAGATACACAACCTCCTGCTGCCGGTGAAGATGTGCCTCAGTAGTCGATGTCCTGTGCTCTCGTCAACAAATCAATATAATGGATTCTTGTTTTTTTTTCCAATAAGTCGTGATACGCAATAAAAAGAGAGTTGAAGACAATATGCATCCCTGGAGATCACCAGCGTTGACGTGAAAGTATTCGAGAGCCACTTGCAGGGACATTCTTTCAAGAAACTGAAGAGCCATACACAAAAATGTCGAAGTTTAGCCAGCAAACCCTCATGTCACACACGGTAAAAGGCTTTAGAAATATCAAGCGCAACAGCTTTTGATTCTCCATGTTTCTCGATTGCGTTATTTCAAATATGTGTGACATACGATAGAAGGTCGCCTGTTGATCTTTGTTTCCGAAAGCCATATTGATGATCGCTCAAGATGTTGAAGCCTTCCAAATATTTGAGGATATGGTGGTTTATCTTGCAAATATCCTTTCAATTTTGATTTCACGGAGTTTTTATTCCGTTGCTGTCTCAAGTTTACGGATAGATGATTAGAAAACTTAATAACATCTATATGAGGGTTTTTTTTCATAAAATAATGAGCTGTGTCCAGGAATTCTAATGAGGTCCCCATTTCTATAGTTCATGGCACTGAGAAACTGTTTGATACATCTCAACATGTTGCACGAATAACATTATACATTTGGAAATATAAATACATGGAATTGTTGAAATTTCACATTTTTGAAAATATGTTCGACACGACTCGTCTGGTTTCAGGCTGAAAATGAGTCGAGTAATTATTTTTTGGGATTGAGTTACTGGAGCATTCCCAAATGTTGATGCTATATGATATATGGGAGTAGAAGAAGAAGCGGGGATGATTCTGCAACCGTGTTAGGAATCACACGTTAAAAGGTAAGACCTCGTTAGTCCTTAGCTCGCACAAGTTTCTCAACTTCTGAGAATTGTCGTTCGTATGGGGGCGACAGCTGATTAACGGAAAAACAGATTTTAAAACAGATTTTTTTAAAACAGATTTTAAAACAGATTAGAGCATAATATACATTGATGAGTTGATTGGTATCAAACATATTTTTTAATTACAATATAGAATAATAACTTGTGTTCACTTTTTTGCTTATGGAATCAATACTATTTTATCAACTCATTTGACTATCTACATGAGTTCCAAGAAATTTCGTAACTTCAGAAAGATCAATAGTTCTATTTGTGACAACCACTTGAAAACCAGTCACAGATCTCCACCTAGGATAGAAATGCATTTTTTGTAAGTCTTCAAGACTATATAAATCAGTAGTATCATCTGCATAGGGAACTACAGAATCTGAACTAATATGGTCAGTTAGATCGTTTATGAATAACAAAAATTTGCGTAATCAGAATCGATCCCTAAGAAACTCTCAGATCTATCTCATAATATTCAGATTTATGCTCTGCAAATCACATCCAACATTTGTTGAAAAAAATACTAAAAAAATAGTGGTCAGTTGATTTGGCTAAAAATTTGGTTAACTATGTTTTTGGTTGTAGTGAATGGTTTTTTTTATATATCAAAGATGGGCAAATACATGAGAACTTTTTGCTGTCAGAAAATCTGGGGAAACCCAAAAACTCAGCTCCGCGAATACAACAGATATTGTGAACTACTTAATGGCGGTCCCTATAGAAAGTACTTGAAATGGTTTTTACTGATTTTTCTTTCTTTCTGAAAAACATTCACTCTTTTTGCATTTGGACCATTATCTCAAAGGAATGTTCCGTATGAAATCTGAAAATGGAAAATACATAACAGAAAGTGGTGTATGGGAGCGATATTTGTTTCGGATTTATTCTACATGAAGGTTTCAGTTCCAACTTTCTAATGTGTTCTTTGTAATTTGACGATTTTAGTCTTTCGTCGAGAACAATATCCAGCATCTGCAAAGCACAGTCGAATGCATTACTTAGGTGATACATAGCAAGTGCCTTTTACTCTCTCTCTCTCTTTTGAAAACCATATTAATAATTATTCACTGTAGAGCATCAATTGTACATAATGATTTCCTCAAACTTAAATGTTCTGCATTGAACAATAATACGTGTATTGAATTGAAAGGTCCATTAATATGGAAGTGTCCAATCTCCATATAGTCTTTTTCAACTAAAATTACTTTTTTAACCCTTTTCTGCCAGTCTTCTTCGGTAATATTAGATACTTCTTCTTTATTTAGCTCTATTACCTTCTTATCAAATTTTGGAAAATTATTTTTACGCCTGATGATTTCCCCAAATCAACTCGATGGGATTGAAAACACAAAAATAAGGGGAACAGGGAACACTGGGAACAGTGTAAATACAGTGCACCACTACAAAGTCGCTTCCCGCTGTCGGTCTCTGCTTAGATCTTCAAAGCTACGCAACGGATTTTGATGCGGATTTTTGAATGGATACAGTGATTCAAGAGGAAGGTTTATATGTATATAACACGTATAATATACAAGAGTAACACTGATAATTTCAAAGGTTTCATCACTATCCAGAATTTTATCAGAATATGTTCAACATCAAAAAAATTATAAGTAAACTACTACATTGACTGGAATAGTTTCCAATATGTATTCCCCAATACCGTTTTCAGTGACAGACGAATTTTGGCATGATTTAACACAAAGTATTCCAGAATTACGTGAATCCAGTGGTCAGATTTTTGCAAAAAAGATAGCTAATATTTTTTCAATTTTTGTCAGTGATTGTTGTTCAAGTAAACTTCTCGCATGTCTACCTAATGAAAAATTCAAACTACAATACAACAATACAACAATATTGTGAGCCATTTTGAATGGGTCACAATATATAAGAACGAATAAATAATGTGTGAATAGAAAAGTAAACATTAATTCGCGATCAACTTTAGAAATATCAATAAGAAGAGCAATCAGCACACAAATATTCG